AAAAAAAAAAAAAAACATGAAGGGGAAGGAGATGTGTTGGCAATGTGCATCTGGGTAAATAAGCATTTAATAATAATCTGACAAATAATTTTGAACTTTGTGTATTTAGAAGGAGCCAAGGGTTACTTCTTAGAGTTTTCATAGTTTGAATAAGAAACCAGATAAATATTAATGTGCAAAAAAAAAGCAGGTATGGTAAGTGTTATATATCTATCATAAAACACTCCAAAGTAGGAAAATAAGTACATTGAAGGAAGGGAAATCTTATGTAAATTTAGAGAGCATTGATCACAAGAAGGACGAGCAAAGAAAGTATCAGGCTTAAAGGATTATCTATCCTCTCTAGCTATTATTCTGGTGTCTCAAAGATCCCAATAGTTATAATCCAACTTATGAATTATGAATATAGAAACACTAATCACTTTCCTTAACTTGGATGAAAGAAGAAAAGCCTTGCTTTTATGTTTAATGCATTGCCAGTGGGATATAGCATGCCTTCTTGAGCAATACAATTGCCTTTTATAAAACATTCTGAATCAGATCTGAGTGGGATTGTCTACATTCTCAGGCGTGCATTTGAGGCAAGGAAGGCAATGAGCTGGAGTAAATGAACATGGGAAAGAGAAGCTTGGAAAATTCATCAAACTAATGATATTTTAGACAATTATTGAGCCCTAGTAGAAGATACCCAGCCAGTACATAACACACAGGGGAAATTGTACAGATGTCTTCAATCTGAAATGTGTCAATAAAATGGCTCACTGGATGGATAGGAACGTGGTTAAAATAATAAAAACAGTAAAATATTAGTCTGGAATCTAGGGGGAGGTTGACTCTTCTTTTAGTTTTGCTGTATCTTTGAAATTTCTCAAAATAAAAGCTGAGGGGGATGGAGACAGGGACATTTATTATGGTATTTGATTGCAAAAACAACCCCAATGCCCCAATTGTTTGTCTCAACCTTTGCCATACGACTTTGTAACTCCTTCCATTAAGTCCATTTCTCTTCCCTTAAAATGTGCTGGTCCAGTGACTTGTTTTTACCAGGAGAAGGCAGTGAAAATGACCATGTGCCAGTTCTAAGGCTAGGTCTCAAACAACTTTCGTACTTGCCCTATCTTTTTTGGAACTCTGCCTGAGCTACAAGAACAAGTCCAGGCTGGCTACCTGGAAGACGAGAGACGGTATAGAGCAGAGCCCAATCGTTCCATCTGAGGCCAACCTACAGCAGCCAGCCTCCCGCAGACCAGGAAGTTGGTCACAGAGCCATGAGCAAGCCCAGCCGAGATCAGCAGCCCTGGTGAGCAAAACTGCTCCCACCCCCCCAGCTTGTACATTTGTGAGCCACAATAAATGATTCTGACTTTAAACTAGTAAGTCTTGAAGTGGTTTGTTACATACTATTATTGTGGCAATGGATGGCTGACCCAGTATAGATATTTCGAGGAACTTGAGGCATTAAAAAAAGAAGGATGATGACATTCCATTTCCTTTCCGGAAATAGAAAATAAATATATGAGAAATCTCCCACCCCCAGTGAAGATCTAGTTTCTTTGCCTCTGGTCCTAGTTTTAAGTGGCCACATTTTATAAAGGGGATTATTGCCCCAAAGGGATCCTTGCCATCTGCAAAACACAGCAGTTACTGAATTGGTTCCACTGCCTATGGTTTAGTGAAAAACATTTTAGTGTTTTTTTTTTTTTTAATTGTACTTCAAGTGAATTTGATAACAGGCAAACCTTACCTTGTGTGGTCAGTAAGTGGAGATTTTTATTACCCAGCCAATATTCACCATTTTCCCGAACAAAATTTCCAAAGCCATTTTCATAGTCATTCCAACCTCTAAAAAATACAAAGTGAAAGCTGATTTTAGCAAAACCCAAAAGGACCTTTGTAGTAACCAAGGTGCCCACCCCTCCCAACTACCACCCCCACCCTTTTCTCAATTCTTTTGTCATTTTCTTTATTAGTAAATGCACTTTCAGTAGTCATACTTACAGAGTGAAATTCTAATTATAGACCTCAGGATATAATAAAAAAAGGCTTAACTTGTTATGAATCTCACACATGCTACTCCAAATAAATCCTTATGTCATAATTAGCACACCTGTTAAAGTTCTCACTGCCATCAGATCGTCTCTGAATTACAGTCCATCCTCCTCCATCAGACATGTCACAGTAAACGGAGAATATTGTTGGGCTCTGGAGAGGTTTGATTTTGTAAAATCCACTGCGCTTATGCCCATCATTAAAAATCTCTGAACAGTCTGTTTGCAAAACAAGGTAATGTAACATTTGTTATATGTCTTATGTCTCCCCTCTCTAGCCCCCGCCCCACATGAGAGCCTCTGGATAAGATTACTCAATACTAATGGAGACAGATAAACACATGGTGCAGATAATCAGCTTTTTAAAATTGCATCTTGGACATCTTCCAGTAGATATTAGGAAAGTCTTATTTCCTTTCCTAGTATTTAATTATCATCTGACTCCTTGACATGATCATGAAAATAAAAGAGGTATTTGGTTTCTCATTTCTCATTTTTGTGGAAAACAATTAAAAAATTACATATGTTCAGTTAATTACAGTATATTTAATTGGAATTTATAACCTAATCTGACAGAATAGTAGAACTTATCTCTCCTAGGAAGCTAAAATGAAAGTAGAAATATAACCTCGAACAAATAATTTAATATGGGTTATCTTGACTTAGAGCATTATAAATCATTCTGAACATCTGGAGATTAATTCAAAATAGTAATCTTCTTGTTAGAGTCTTATAACCTCCCAGTCTCAACAGACTTTTTTACTAGCCCACTGAAATTTCTAACAGTCCATGCATTCTTAGATGTTTTTGCTAAAAACTGCAAGCTTCTGCTATTCCTTTTATCCCTATGTTCTTCACCATGATATTTCTTTAACTATTGGAGCAAACAGAGGTACCAATTTGTCACCAAAAAGTAATATCTATTTCTTAAATTACTTGAGGGTAGGATAAATTAATAGCCACTGGGTCTCATCTAGGCTGATATGTACACACTTAGAGAATATACGGCAAGTATGGACTTCACTCTTGTTTCGATGCCTAGGAAGCTGTTTAAAGGTTGGTTGAAGTAGTGGCCACTAGAAAGAGATGATCTGAAGAATACCTAGTTACAGACTTTTGAGTAAAAATACTATAACTTAACATTATAGCTAACTTTCATGTTTTACCCTTATCATTTTGTTAATTTCCTTCCTTTTTTTTTTTTTTAAAAAAATTCTGTTCCTGGTTGGATATTTTAAAGTTCTTTCTTCATTTTCATTGTTTTGATGCCCAATTTTCTACAACTCTGTTTTGTTACAAGTAAAATACACTGTGCATTAAATTGGTAGAATAGGCAATACGAATTAGAAAAGAAAATAAAGAACCTTTGTCGCTTTCAAAAGCTCTCACCAAGTTGAGACCAATCATGTACTACAGCTTTGGTGAGTTGTTCATCTTTGTAATGATTTAGGCTTTATTTGTATATTTATTTCTGAGATTCAGAAGCCTATTCTTTTATTTATTTATTTGACAGAGAAAGATAGCGAGAGCAGAAACACAAGCAGGGGGAGTGGGAGAGGGAGACGCAGGCTTTCCGTGGAGCAGGAAGCCTGATGTGGGGCTCGATCCCAGGACCCTGGGATCATGACTTGAGCTGAAGGCAGACGCTTAACGACTGAGCCACCCAGTCACCCCTCAAAAGCCCATTCTTTATGCATGATGGATTCTTTAAAAAAAAATCCTTTTTGGCAATTAAATAAGAAAAAAAGCATTACCTAAAATTAGTTCAGTGTTGTTCAAAAGCTTACATTTTGTGGTCAAGTAAGTTGTACAACACTCTTCATTAAAGTAAGCAGATTTTAACCTTGTTAAGGAAGGAGCGCTTTGCTTACGTATAATCTCCTACCAAAGAGCTGAATAGTAAAAACTCCAAAGATTCAGACTATTTTCCAGGCAAATATGGAAATGATTAGCTATAACTTTTTCCTCTGGAAAACTTTGTGAATATAGCATTTGCAGCCAACATTTTCTATTTGTTTCTATTTTATGCCAACTGCAAGTTTGTGTTTTTAAAATTTTTTTCCTTCTTCCCAGAGGAAAAAACCAAACACAAATCCAGAGGAAAGCTTTCAACTTAAAAAAAAAAGCAAAAAACAAAAACAAAAAACACCCAACAAGTAAAAAAAAAAAAAAACATCCAAAAGCACCAGTAGCAAAATTGCTCATAAAAAATAAGTTAGAAATAAGGAGCCTGCCTTGGGGAAATGTAACTTATACTATGATAGCAGGAAGTTCAAGCAATGTAGGGTGTAAAACATTAACTAGGTATTTATAATGTTTTCAAAATGTTTCGACCCACTCAAGTCTCTGGAGAATAGGCAGGCAAGGGCAAGGTTAGAAGGCTCTGTGCTCATGGGAGTTTAAAAAACAAAAAGGGATTTTTGGATACTTACATAATACTAGAGTGAGGCCAAGATTTCCTGCCCTCTGACAAATACTGCACTAAACTGGATGAGGTGAATACTTTCTCTGATCATGCAGAAAGCAAGCCATGTTGGAAGGCTGAATGTTTAAGCTTCACAAAGTGACATGACAGCCTGCCACATGGACTTCCCTCTTGTCCCAGAATGGTGGCTGAGCTCAAAGCTGAGAAGCAAAGTCATTCTAAGCTCAAAGAAAGGCCAGCATGAGCTCAGCGGCCACTCAGGGGCATGCTGGGAAATGCAAGAGCTCACCCTGCTATAGTCATTCTCCCCACCAGGCAACATTAAGAAGGAAACTTAAAAGAAGAAAGGATGTTGGTCCCTTGGAGAGGGCAGGATTCTTGAGGGGTAGGGTGAAGAGGCTTGCTCCTGTGCAAACAAGGGGGAGAGTATATAATAATGTGGATAGATGGCTGACATTCATTGAGTGCTTCTTTTGTACGAAATGCTATTGTACTCATGTTACATGTGTTAACTCTTAATCTTTACAACAAAGAAACATTCTTATCATTCTCATTTTACAGACGAGGAATATGAGGGCCATAAAGGTTAAGTCACTTGCCCAAAGGCTACAGCTAGCAAGATGGGCAGTGGGAATTTGAAACCAGGCTTCAATGCTTCTATTGTATATGAAGAATATGACACAGATCTATTAACTTCTGGGGTTTTTTTTAATGTTATATCCAAAACAAGAAAATATCTATCATCTATCCTATTGTATGTGCTATAATGTTATAAGACAGACACATACACATACTATAATGGTTCGTCTAGACACTGTCCATGTGACTCTTCCATCCAACTCCTGCTTATACAGTCAGTCCTCCTCTGACCTTGGTATTTCCATTTCCTAGTAACTGATTTCTGCCTTATTCTTGGTGACTTCTTGTTTCCCGAGGTCCCCACCCAGCACTCCTGACATAGGGATTGGAGTTGTAGCTCCTCAACCTCATTCTTCCCATGACTGGTTGCACAGTGCTTGTAACCAACATCCAATCACCTGCCTCCTGACATGACTGGACACTTGAATCTGTGTTCACAACCTGCTCAGATCGTATCTGAATACATACCTTGGGTTTTGAACTTACTTTGGAATTTGGAATAATGATACTTCTCTTATATCCACAAGTTCCTTGACCTTGAGATTAGTTGTGTACCCCTTTTGGAATCATAGAAGGTGCCAGCAGGGTTGGCTTCTTCTGAACCCTCTGTCCTTGGCTTACAGAGAGCTGCCTTCTTGCTGTGTCCTCATACGGTCTTTCCTCTGGCACCAGTCTCCCTGGCGTCTCTTCTTATAAGGATACTCAGATTGGGGGGGCCCATCCTAATGGCCTTATTTTCACTTAATCTCTTAGTCGTATTCATAGACTTTAGAGGTTAGAGCTTCAACATATGAATGGGGAGGGTACAACTCAGCCCATCAGACAAAGTCATCAATCAAATGGTCATTTGGCCATTCTGGTTACCCCCTTGTCTGAATCAACCCTGTTATCAAAAATGATTGCCCTAATTAACTTACTGAGATCCTACTCTGACATCTGTATCTTAAATTTTCCACAGTCTCGGGAGAGGTAGCTAAAGCCTGCTAAGTGGATAACTGACCACATTATAATTAGGCCCCAAACGTCATCGAATGAAAAGGGTGTTGAATTGCCACAATACCCTACCTCCTACCTGAAAAGAAGCAAAGCCTTCTACTAGGTGACCTCAGCCTGTGAGAAGAAATCTGGGGAGAAGCCTGACCTGATTCTGGTCTTGAACAATCTCATCCACATGCATCAGCAAAAGCACAAGCCCTTTTCAGTCCTGTAGGGGTTCTCATTTAATTGCAGCCTAAATTCTCATTTAATTGGAGTGGAACCTTGGCACTATATGTATACAGTTTCCCAGGGGTCATTGCCTTTCTGCACATTTTGTAAGCAGAGTTCATGTTCTGGACTAATTTTTTCAGGGATGTTTGTATAGTAAACAGCCTTAGAAGATAGAGACGGATGACAGGTTAGTTTCTGTCCACTTTCATAACAATAATGTCTCTTGCAAAGGAGAAAAAACTGGGCCAATTTGCTTGTAACCCATAATAAATAAAAGATTGATGTTTCCTAAGCTCAGCGTTCCTCAGCTGTGACACAGCCCACTGCCTGCACATTCTCCACCTGGATTACTCCATTTTGCTCCTTCAGTATTTGCAAGCAAGGGATATCGGTACAAACATGAAGACTCCTGACCCGGGAGTCTCTTTTCTTCTGCTGGCATCCATGAAACGGTGGCAGGCTAACTTGTTAGGCTGCGAAGAGAGTAAAACCTCAGACCCTTCATGGCTCTTTTATTGGCTTCGGCATTTTACAAGGTCACCAGGTGATTCTAGTGGGAAGCCCTGGCTCAGAATCAGTCTTCAAGGAATTTCTACTGATTTTGCTTTTTGTTTGATTGCTTTCCTGAGCCTTCTTTCACTGTCTTGCCTAATCGTCACTGTGGTTCTCTCCTTAGGTTCTCGTTCCTGGTTCTTTGCCCCCAAGATTGCCTCAGACAGGGCCTTTGTTTCCCAAGCCTATTTTTGCCAGAGCTGGCTTTTGTTCCTCTTTGTTCCACGCCACAGAGCCATGGGCCATCCTCACGCTACCTCCAATCCCTCTACCACAGGCCTCCTTCTGATCCCTAAACAGGGGAGGGGAAGTTGGACTCCAAGAATCAAGGGTAAGGGATCACGTGGTGGGACAACAGCATGTCAGGAGCCCCTAGGACAAAAGTCTGACCAGAAAGAGATTAGGTTCTCAGTAAAGAAAGAAGGAAGCATTTTGTTGCAGCCTAGTTTCTAAAATTCTCACAATCCTTATATCCTACACTGATGAGTATATTTAGAAACACAAAATAAAGATGTCTTTATTCTATCAGCCTGGAATCTCTTCAGCCTTTACATTTTTTCATTTACAGTCAGATCTATTTTCCAACTTATATTTGCTTATCTAGCGCTTCCTATATCTATGTACTCCCTTGCTTTCATTCATAAATGTGAGGCTCTATTATATTCAGGTACTTGAATAGGCAAGAGGGAAGAAAAAATGATGAAATGTCATCCCAGACCTTACAAAGTGCCTGGTTAATTGATCAGGACAGATGCATAGACAAAGAAATTATAATACATCATGGGAGAAGCTAGAACAGACATAGGAACACAGTGCTCTAGATGGCATCCTCATTTCTGACAACTCTGGTTTGTTTACTTTAAAAGATGCCTGGAGGAAGGCGAGTGAATAGTTTTCTATAAGGAATAATGCTATGTGCAGTGATAAGCGCAATGTGTTGACAGTCTAAGATCATTTAGTTTCCGGGTGGGAACACTGACCCAATCAAAAGGAAAATTACCAAACCATAAAATATACATGTAAACACAACTCTTGTATTTCCCTAAATAATTGTGATCCTTTTTCTTTCCCTGTCCTTTTATTCTATTACCTTATTACTACCCTAAAGCACATAACGGTTTCAGAAGGGAAAACTGTATAAGTGTAACAAGAAATGATACACAAAAACAAAACTCAACTGTAAAATTTCACAAGTATCATCTGTTATTTGCACACCAGTATGTAAACAATCTATTGTCTTTGATCTCTCATTAAACTATAGAAATTCTGAGATATTTAGCATTGGTATTAAATATCCCCTGCAGAGATTAGTGAGAGAAAAGGATAAAATGTGGTAGAAGACATTTAAATTTGGTATAATGCTTCATGTTGATTGTTATTGGAATAGGAAAAGCTCTTTAGCAAAATCTGAAGTACCAAATAATGAGCAACCCCATTGCACATGGGTGTATATTATAAGTTCCTGAAGCCCATAAGAAAAATAGGTTCTGACCTGCATATTGCCTCTTGCCTCCAAGGTCAATGACATTATTCTCCTCTCCTTTATCAAGGAACTGGATTTCCTTCTCATGCAAAAGCTGTGTGATCTTGACCTGTTGCTGCTTGACCCGCGTCTCAAGCAAGTGCACCTGGGCTCTGAGCCGTGCCTGCTCCTGGAGACAGTTCTCAAGAGCCTGCAAAGTGATGTGCATCTCATTCTCACTGGGAAATAAAAGCTCCCAACAAGCTGGACAAATTAATGATTCAATTTTGTCCCTGCCCCGCATCGGGCTCCCTGCTCGGCGGGAAGCCTGCTTCTCCCTCTCCCACTCCCCCTGCTTGTGTTCCCTCTCTCGCTGTGTCTCTCTGTCAAATAAATAAAATCTTTAAAAAAAAAAATTTGTCCCCAACTCCCATTTCTGAATATTATTCTAACCAGAAAGTGGTTTGAAAACTCTGGTACTATTTGTTGTTTGAAGAATAAGTAATTATGGCTACGGTAAAGTGCTTGAACTAAAAAATTATATATTAATATAAAATAATCTGAATGACTAAGCTAAGAGCCTTAAATTCGTCTCATTCGATCTTCATAATGATTCCAGGAGGGAGGAATTGTCTCAACCCTAGTGAGGCAACTTGCTCAGGGATTTTTCCAGCAAGTAGGAGGAGTCAGGATTCAAATCCGGTTAGAGATCCCTACTCTCAGTCTCTTCGTGATGCCATCAAATGCTTTCCTGACAGTAAAGTTTTAATGGCATCATTGCATTGTTAGTGTGTCAATCCCTAAAATAAACAAGGCTTTGGAATGACCTTCTGGCATTAATGTCTTAAAAATTTAATGGAATACTTATAATCCGATGACATGTGTTCACCTTTATAAGGGATGCTAGTTTAGACTCTCATATCCCTGAATATCTCACCCACTTACCTGTGCAAATTCTAGTGAAGTCACTTTAACTTTTTGCTTATTGTTTTGTTTTTCCCTCAATTACTTCAGAAAGGGATGGGAGGAGGCTGAGTTTTCCAGTTAGGTCATTTATCTTCTCTAAAAGAGCAAAAAACCCAAGAATATTGGATGCAAGAGAATTTATCAGCTCCTTTCTAAGCTGGCGTCTGATAACTTTCCAAAGAGAAAGGAAACATGGTAGGGAATTAATTGGGAAGATGAGCTGCAGGGATGGGGCTTCTGGAAGAGGTATTGAGACTAGAAGCTTCAATAAAGGCTTTGAGTACTTGATGTGGGAAGAGTTACTGGAGGTAGAGTGGGGAAAAAAGGAAAAAAGGACAAAAGACTAATTTTTGCCATTTTTCCACTTTTACCTTGACATCTCTATTTGCAAATTACATCATGATCTCCCATGGTAAGTGTAAATGTTCACTTCTGAGAAATTCTAAATTTTCATGAGTGATTGCTTTACACTACTACCTTTATACACATCATTTTCTAAAACAGCCATCAGACAGATTTCTCAATTTACAATTGCCTTTCGGTTCCTATCTTTATGTACTGCCTTATATTCATTCGATAAATAGGAGGACCTGCTACATTCCAGGCCCTCTGCTAGGTGGTCAGAACAGCACAGCTAGACACCCTATTTGGGACAAAGAGGTACACTCCCTTCCTATGAAGACCTGTACTGTGAACATAGAAATTCAGCCCCCAAACTGGAAGTCCCATAGCAAGAGAATGGGGAAGTGGTGGTCCAGGTCTTCTCCTATTTCCAAGTCCGAATCACCGAATCTCCCCTGGCTATTTCTCGAGGACCATTTCTTATTTGCTCTTGGTGCTCTCTCCTCAACACTCCTTGATTTTTCTACTCTGAATTATTTGCTTAGCTCTCTGATTCCCACCAGTCTAAAAAATGAACAGCAAGAACATTTCATGGTGTCTGGAATCCTGTGCTCCTTTCTAATAGGTGGAAATTGGTTGCGATAGTGTTAAATATAGTTAAATATAAATTGCAGTGTGCGATTTAAAAATAGCTGAAAGTACAGGGCAACTATCTTCAATCATTATGAGACCACATGCACAGTTTTAGTGAGCTTATTTAAAATTTAGGAGTTTTCACTCTCCCAGAACTTTGAATAAATGAGTATTTTCTCCCTTTTATTTATTTATGAATGGAGGAAGGCATGAGTTCATTGTAATTACTTTCAAATAATTTGTTCAGTTTACACTAACAGTGTTCAATATTGGAAAACTCAATATTGGGAAAGACCCTAGGTCAATTTTAATTACCATGGGTAGTTTTAAGTTTCTAACATTATTTAACTACCCAAATAGGCCCCAGTAAATTCAAAAAGATTTTACTTATTTATTGTGAAGACTAGTTTTTACTTTGAGAAAGAAAAATTACGTCTCTTGTAAGTGCCTATTATGTGGCAGGTGCGTCCACAAACCTTTTTCATATTTTCCCCTTAGTTATTTTTTTTTCAGTGACAAATTACTAAAGGTTTTCTGCAAAATAAAAGAAAATTCAGGTCAAAGCAGGTATTATAAATACATAAATAAATGAGCTTACCCAGCTTTCCCTGCCCATTACCAGAATGGTGGTGACAAGGATGAAACTGAACATCTTCACCATTTTCCCCACTGAAACAACTACAAGAACAAAAGATATTTCATAAACTTCTTTACTGTGATTTTTTCATGTGATGAGTTGGGTTCAGGTTCAACGTGATCCAGGATGTCGGATGCAGCTCCATCTCTAGTCTGAGAGTCTTCAAGGAAATTCCCCTGGATTTTCCCATGCTTCCCTCACACAGAATGATGCTCTCTGTTACCTTAAGTAGGACTGAACCTGTTCAATTGCAGAAATAAAGGGACTCTGCCTCTCTTTGAGTGTCCTAATTATAATGTGCTGCTTGTGCAGACAAAGCAAAGGTTCTGTAAAAACAAAGACCTGGCTCCATGTTTTGGCTGAGCCACTTCCTAGTTGTGTGCCCTCAGGCAACCTACTAAAATGCTCCTGATTTGTAAATGGAAATCATAATTTCTACTTGACAGGACTGTGGTAATTTTGACCTAATGCTTTAGATACCCTGTCATAGGATAAGTGCCTAAGGAACAATAACTTATTTTGTATATGGAAGACTGCTTTTATTTTTAAAAGAAGAAAGAAAAAAATGACAACTATAGGATGTGATATGCATTGTTTTTCTTGATGTCTTAATGGATAGGCAAGCTACCAAGGTGATATAAATCTTTAAGCTCTGTTTAAAGTTGTAGAGGAAAATTCACTTTACCACTTCTTGAGATTATTTTTAAAATCACTCTTGAGGGGCGCCTGTGTGGCTCAGTCGGTTAAGAGTCTGACTCTTGATTTCAGCTCAGGTCATGATCTCAGGGTCATGAGATCAAGCCCCATGTTTGGGTTCTGCGCTGAGTGTGGAGTCTGCTTGAGATTCTCTCTCTTTCCCTCCCCTCCCCTCAACGCTCCCCCCTGCCCTCCTACCCTGCTTGTGCACATGCTCTCTTTCTCTCAAAATAAAATGAAATAAAATGAAATCACTCTTGAAGTAATGAGTCTTGATGAAAAATTTTGTTCATCCTCAAATAACTTCTGTGTGCTGCCAGAGATGATTTTTCATAAATTTTAGACGCTAAGGAGCCTAGAAGAGCAGAGATATTTGCATAATCTTCAAACAGATTTTATACCTATGGTTTCCAGAAAAGAACTGGAATCAACTGAATTATTTGTTAGCCTATTTTTATTCTTATAGAACCTGTGACCACTAGGTCTTTTCAGGTATCTCTTTCTCAGTTTTTTTTTTTTTTTAAGATTTTTATTTATTTATTTGACAGAGAGAGACACAGCGAGAGAGGGAACACAAGCAGGGGGAGTGGGAGAGGGAGAAGCAGTCTCCCCACTGAGCAGGGAGCCCGATGCGGGGCTCGATCCCAGGACCCTGGGATCATGACCTGAGCCTAAGGCAGATGCTTAACGACTGAGCCACCCAGGCACCCCTCTTTCTCAATTTTTATATAATTAAAAAGGTGGTTCCTAACTTTACTGCCCATTAGAATCACTTGGGGAGCTTTAAAAAAATCTCCATGCCCAGGAATTCAATTGAATGTCTAAAGGTGGCAGTCAGGTACATGGAATTTTTAAAACATTGTTGATTCCAATGTTCAGCAAAGTTTGGGAAGCAATGATTTAAGGACTTAATATACAAAAATTTTTAAGTCTGTTATAACAAAGTAGTTAGTTCTCAGTCCTTCTGAGGCCAACAAAAACAGTTATAGAATGGGAAAGACACTTAAATTCAGTGACAAATACCGTGCATGGCCACCTTGGGAAGCACTGTAAAATAGAATGTGAGTTTTTAGAGTATGTGAAATTTATGCATTACAGAGAGTAATAAAGAGTCTGCTACATATAACTATATAATTTTACTTGACTGACTTTTATTTTTTTACTACAAGTCTAGAACTGTGCTGTGTATTTTATAAGCATCTACTTTAATTCTCAAATAACTAAGGCAAGTACTATTATCCTCATCCTACAAATGAATAGATCAGAGAGGTTAAGTCATTTCCCTAAGATCACACAGCCGGTTTATGGAAGACCCAGCAATTGAGCTGAGGGCTTTCCACCTTGACGGCCCATGCCCTTAACCTGAACTCCACACGGACTGCCTTGTGATCCACATATGACTGAAACACACAGGGAAACAGGCTGCATGGACGAATGGGGGCCCTCGCGCTTGGCCTTCTCCTGTAAACATCGGCCTCACTCATGAACATGGCTGTGACTCATTTGTTCCTGAGTCATGCACTTCTCCAAAGGAACATCAGGTGAATCTGGCAGGAGAGGAGACAGCTACATTGAAGCAGAGGCAAACTGAGGGAATGGCCACATTAGCAAGCCCTTACTGATTATCAGCTCTCTGCTCAGCACTGTGCTACACGCTGTGGAAGAATTAACATGGCAGCCTCGGCGAGGCAGCGTCTCAAGCAAGAAATGAAAATAACCATGAAAATGGAAATTAAGGACAATATAAATTAAGTAGACGTGAAACCATATGTAATTACATATAAAAATTGAACTTTCCCAGACCACCCCTCAAGACAAAATTAATTACTTCCTCCACTGTGACCCCCCCCCCATACTATATTTGCAGACCAAAATAGCAGTTATCCACTCAATAAACATTGTTTGCATGCCTGCTCTGTTCCAGGCACTGTGCCAAGCAATGGAATTATCAAGTGGTCAGTTTTTTGCATGTCTTTCTCTAACTGCTTAGAATAAGATTTTTGAAGGCAAAGGCCCCACCTTGCTAATTGTTGTATCCCCAGATCTAATTTGTTACAGCGATGCCGATAAAAGGTTAGTTGTCTCTGCAGAAAATTTTCCCCTGGGAAGGAAAATTCTTTCTCAGAGGGGAAAATGTCCTTTCCTTGCCATAAAACTAGTCTGTTTGCAGTGGCAATACTTCCTCCTTCCTTCTCTATGTTTATCCTGGTCAAGGGGAAAACAAAGGGCTAAGTGTATTTTTGAAAGTAAGCGTTAGGAAGGGGGTCGAGGCTTTTGGTTGGATTGAACACATGCATTTATTTTTTCTTTTTCATAAAACCCCACTAGAAAAGGAGTAAAGAAAAATGGAGAAGACATGAATTGACAAGGTCAAAGAGAAAGGGCGGGGAGAAAACACCTGGCATGCAATGTCAACATGTTTGTAGGATGTAAGAAGCACGTTGGGGAGCTGGCAGGGCTGCTAAAACTGGGGAACCAGCAGCAGCAAAGGGGACCATCACAAGAAGGAGACTAAGTTGCACTGCAATGCCCCAGCCAGGTGCAGGGCTGAAGGCATCAGCTGGCTTCGAAGGCAGGGTTGGAGGCGATGGGCTGACACTGATTCTCACCGAAACATTGCATGCCAGGTGTTTTCTCCCCTCCCTTTCTCTTTGACCTTGTCAATTCATGTCATGAATACTGTTTCTCTCACCCCATCAGACAACAAGGCTTACTTTCCACTAAGGTTGAACCAGAGAGGCTCTGGGTAGCATGACCACAGGCACAAAGGAGGTCAGGGGAGAGTACTTTGTTCTACAGGTTGAAACACCCACCCCCCCACCTCCACACACACACACACACACACCCCACCAGGATATTCTGTCCTGGCAGCCAGGTAGCCCTCTCTCTACTCCTCCCACCACTTTCCAGGCCAGAGAGCATGGGATTCCTCTCTGGAGGAATGAATAGGCTCACAGAAAAGATCATCAGAGGCTTACATTGGGCGATTCTCCAACAGAAGCGCCTTGTCCTTGCCTGATCCTTCTCCAAAGAAGCCCACCAGTTGGCAAGCCTCATTCATGTACACGGGAGAGGTATAAACTTAAATTTTCTGTGTTTCTTTCAAAGGAGTTCTCTCTGAAGGGAGATATATTAAGTTTCTTTCTGCATCTGCATTTACCTAACAGTCTAAAGAGAAACACTTAAAGGGGTGCCTGGGTGGCTCAGTCGGTTAAGCATCCAACTCTTGATTTTGGCTCAGGTCATGATCTCAGGGTCACGAAATCAAGCCCTGCGTCCAGCTCTGCACCGAGTGTGGAGCCTGCTTAAGATTCTGTCTCTCTTGGGACACCTGGGTGGCTCAGATGGTTAAGTGTCTGCCTTCGGCTCAGCTCATGATCCCAGGGTCCTGGGATTGAGTCCCGCATTGGGCTCCCTGCTAGGCGGGGAGCCTGCCTCTGCCGCCCCCCTGACTCTCATGAATAAATAAATAAAACATTAAAAAAAAAAAGATTCTGTCTCTCTCTACCCTCTCCACTCCCTGCCCCCTGTTCATTTTCTCTCTCTCTCAAATTAAAAAAAGAGAGAGACAGAGAGAAACAATAGCAAGCAATTTATCATGAAGTTGTATAATTTATCTGTTACAACTTAATCCTTTCATCTAACACTGAAAACAAAATAACCAAAATGTACAGAAAGAAGTGGAGTGCTGTGTAAATCACACAGCTAAATGGGCAAAGAAGTCAGACAAAATACAAGAACACATTCAATAACTCATTGCAGAAAAGCTCTCCTAAGCCCTTGGAGATCCAGTTTTTTCAGTGAGTCATCCTTTTATACATTCATGTGATACCATTTATAGCAACTTAGTTTAGGAAAATGGATATTTTACTCTGTGATCTTAGTAACCATTTAAAATTCAAACATGGGGTGACTGTTTAATGCCAGGTGCTATGTACACTAGATGCTTTTATATATAGCTTATATTAAATATATTGAATTACATTTAAAATACTAGCTTATATTGGGGTGCCTGGATAGCTCAGTTGGTTAAGTGTTCGACTCTCGATTTCGGGTCAGGTCATGGTCTCAGGGTGGTGATGTTGAGCCCCATGTGGCACAGCACTGGGTGTCGAATCTGCTTAAGATTCTCTCTCTAATAATTCATTAGAAACAAGACTGATCTTTCCTAAGAAAAGCTGAGATGGTGAGTGGTGCTCTCTCAAGGTCATCAAAAAGGAAAAGCTCTCTATGCAAGACTTGAGCTTGTCTTAGTTGTTTATAAAATATATGTAGTATTTCCGTAATTGAATCATAAATACTTCAAGGGCAGTGTTTTCTGCTACATTGCCCATCTTCTGAGTTA